CTTCACATTTTTAAGGGATGCCACCGGATGGCACTCGCCTGACCTCTCACTCCTGTTTTCAGTAGAAAGCCTGTGTGGCTTAACAGAACCAATATTCCCAGGACCACATTAGCCACTATGCAGGAGCAAGCCAGTTTAGCCACATGCAGAGCCACTTCAGACCGCTTCGGCTCTCCAGCCGATTTCTGAGCCCAACGGATAATGCCAAAATGACTGACAGGACTTTTTTTTTTTTTTATCGAGATGCATCCCACCTCCTTCCTTTTTGTTTTACAGTTCATGATTAAAATCAGTGCAAAACATGCATGTTTAACGTTCCGCGTGTAAATAATTTTTTATACTTAAAAATAAGATGTTCCTCTTTTGTAATACATAAATACAGTTATTCTGCTTGTTTTTTTCAAGAAAGCAAATTAAATGAGCTAATTGATGCGAAGGTCCAAATATAATAATTTTTAAAAATCCATTCACTCACCAAGCGCTCTCAAAAGTTCCTCGAAGTTTTCCGAAGACTTCATTTTCCATTTTCCAGAGAAATCGGTGACTTTATTCTCCATTTCTGTGCAAGCACTTGCAGAAATTAATATTATTGGATTATCAGCGGATTATAAACCTATTCTGGTCGCAGTCACTGTTTCTCTATATGTCTGTCCTCCCGCGTTCACCGGTTGGTAAAGTCGTCTCCTCTGCCTGCATCTGAGCCTCCATTCATTGGCTGACTGCTCGCCTGGATCTGATGCCGGTCCAGCCAATGCAGAAGCCAGTGGCAGGGAGGGACTTTCCCCCTCGCTCCCCGATTCCAAGTCTACCCTCCACCTCTGTCAGCATGGTGAAAGATTTGGATAAGAGCTGGAGAATTCACTTCCAGTAAGTCCTTTGATGTTGATGGGCTGCCAGCTCGGATATTAAATAGAAGCGTTAATTGTTTTTAAGATGGCACTATGTTACTCCCAGATATTTGACAAGAGCTCCTGATAATAAAACAAAAACATGGAATGAGGCTGAAACTTATTACTTATTAAGTTTAGGACTATTTAAGAAGCAAGGGTGTTTGGTTTTAAAGGGCTGGAATGCCAAATCAGATATCAGGTTAATGTGTTTAGCTCCAAAGCTGGGTTGGAAAGGCTGGTAATGAAAAAGGAAAAGATAAGACAGCCAGCTGGAGGCATCCATCCAGGAACATGCCATCGGCATTGCCACCCTGCAATTAAAACTTTAGAGCATGAGTGTCAAACTCATTTTAATCCAGCGTCCACATAGAGCCCAGTTTAAACTCAAGTGCATCGGACCAGCAAAAACAAGGCTTAATAGCCCATTAAAAAATGTGTTTCCCTTTCTTTCAGCGCAAGAGCAGCGCAGGACTCCATAAACAGAGAGGGTGGCCCGGTGTGCGTGTGATTAATGCAGACAAAATCTAAAGCAATAACTAACAAAGCAAAGCAAAAGAATGAACAGAATCAACCAACAAGGGAGGAAAGGAGATGCTGAAACATGCCCTGGACTGTTTTTGTGGCCAATAAGACTCATGTTTCACTGATAGCTGGCTTATTTATGTGAATGAAAAAGCTTATATTTAATATACCTGATAAAACTTATATTATCATCTCACTCTGTCTTTATCTGAACTGGACAGGGGCTGATTACTATCTGCTCAGTGAATCACAGTTCAAATGCTCCTTTCCTTTGCATGCAAACCACAATTATAGTTGCTTTATACAAAAACACAATAAAAAAGGTCATTCACATTTAGAAACATTTGGTTTGTTGTGCATTAAATAAATTGAGAGGAGGTCAGAAGAAGTTGTCCTGTGTCTTTGCGGATCTAAAGGAATCATATGATAGGGTGCCAAGAAGGGAACTGTGGTGCTGATGAGGAAGTGAGGAGTGGCAGAGAAATATGTGAGGGTGGTGCAGGACATGTATGAGGACAGTGAGACAGTGAGGAGGTGTGCAGCGTGAGTGACAGTTGGTTTCAAGGTGGGGGTGGGATTACATCAGGGATCGGCTCTGAGCCACTTTTGTTTGTGGTGGTGATGGACAGGCAGACAGATGAGGCCAGGAAGGAGTCTCCACAGACTATAATGTTCACAGACAACATTGTGATCTGTTGTGAGAGTAGACAGACGGAACAGTAAAGATGCAAAGAGGAGAGAGAGAGTGAAGGTGGATGAGTTTAAATGTCTGGGTTCAACAATCCAAACCAAACACAGTGTACAAGTGCGATGAAGAAGAGAGGGCATGGGAAAACAGACAAAATAATAATAATTTAAAAACAGGCTAAATTAATGTGATCGCAGGTTGGGCAATGCAATGACAGTAATCAGCAGAAATCAGCAGAAACTAATAAATAAATAAACAATTTGAATATTCACATAAGTATCATCAGTGGGATGTGTGTGATCATAATGTGGATGAAACTTACTGGCAGAGTTTGTAGATGCAAACTTCCATTTTATGTTTCTCTCTCTCTCTCTCTCTCACACACACACACAGAGAGAGAGAGAGAGAGAGAGAGAGCGAGAGAGACTCGGTGCCAAGAAGGTTTCAGCAGCGCTGGATGAGACGGGATGCCTCTGGAAACACGATGCACTGCATTCACCCAACAAAAGGAGTCATGATGTTATCTGTGCAGGCTGTCTAAGCATTCCTCCCCGTGGCACCATGCAGATACAGTAGCCTATAGAGTTACAGAAACATGGGAGTTGACCTCATCTGCAATGTTATGTAGAGAAAAGGCAGATTAATTAGACCCACCTTACACACAGCAGCATTCACCGCTAGCTGACCTCAGACAGAGGACAACAGCAGAGCACAGGGGATGAGGAGAAAGAGAGGAGAATAGCCCTGATGAAAGAATAACACCGGACACTGCTCTCACTGCTGCTATGACAACAGATGTAACTCCATGAAGCTGTGATTCCCCTGAAAGCTATCTCCCTTTATACAGCCTCTAATGGCAGCAGTTTGGTTCCCTGCTCTAGAGAGACATGATTGTTTGTTTGTTTGATTTTCTCTCTCTGATTAATTCAGATTATTTTATTTGTATGTGTTTGTGTGTGTGGCTGTGTAGTTCCTGGGTGGAGGCTGTGAACCCCTGCACACATGACTGTGTGCAGGGGTTCTATAACTAATCAGCATCCATCAATGCATATATACTCTGTCAACAACAACAACAACAACAATAATAATAATAATACATTTTTATTTATATAGCACCTCTCTAGACAGAGTCACAAAGTGCAGCACATAAGATAACAAGTCATAAAAAGGTAAAAACAGACAATATAAAACAGGCAAAAATTAACCAAAAGCAGTTGAACTGAGTTTTGAATTGTTTATTAAAAACAACTATTGAGTCCACAGTTCTTAAGGTTTGGGGGAAAGAGTTCCACAGGCTAGGGGCCACAGTGGCAAAAGCTTAGTTCTCATCTTAGTCTGTTTTATAGCAAGTAAGCCCTGATCAGATGACCTCAGGGACCTGCTAGGGACATCGGGCTGTAGCAGATCAGAGATGTAGGCTGGTGCCAGTCCATGCAAAGCTCTATAAGTCAAGACCAGGATCTTAAAATGGACTCTAAATTCAACAGGAAGCCAGTGTAGCTGAGATAGCAATGGTGTTACATATGAATACGTAGAGGATTTTGTCAAAAGCCTACCTGCAGCATTTTGCACAACCTGCAGACGATCCAGAGAACCTTTGCTTAGACACATAAACAGTGAGTTACAATAGTCCAAGCGTGAGGAAATAAATGGATGTATAACAATCTCCAGTTCAGAGTGAGATAAAATAGGGCTTAACAAACCAGAGAATTCTCATGCCCATCCAATGTAAGAGTCAACTCAAAAGTGACACCTAAATTCCTGATAGAGGATTTAACATAGACCGAGAGAGGACCAAGGGCTTTCACTATCTGGGATGATAATCTGTCTGGAGCGCACATGAGGACTTCAGTTTTCCCCTCGTTGAGTTGGAGAAAATTTGCAGCCATCCAACGTTTGATAGAATCTAAGCAGTCATTCAGAAGCTGAAGCTTAGATAAATCCTGGGGCTTAAAAGAAATATCATCAGCATAACAGTGTAAGTGATAAGAAATCTCCTCAAAAGAGCCCATTATATGCTGGAAGGGGAGAAGATATATTAAAAACAATAAAGGCCCCAAAACCGAACCTTGAGGGAGACCATAAATAAGGGAGGTAGAGGATGACCTAAAATCGGAGACCACCACAGAATAGGATCGGTGATGTATGAGGAGAACCACTCAAAGGCAGTTCCAGATACACCCAGTGCTTTAGCCTTTCAAGGAGCATGCGGTGGTCAACAGTCTCAAAAGCTGACGTGAGGTCCAACATATGTAGAACAGAGCATTTTCCTGCATCATTACTCATCAAAATAACAAAATAACAAATATTAACAACAGCATGGAGTCAGAAGTTCATTGGATAAAAGATTAAATACCGTAGATAAAACTAAAGGGGTGTTGTTTTTACCTGTAGGAGGCAGAGCTGGAGACATTGAAGTTTTTATTGAGACAGGCCAGGATACACAAGAATAAGTGCATCAGAAGGACAGCTCAGGTCAAGTGATTTTGAGACAAAGTTAGAGAGGTAAGGCTGAGATGGTTTGGACGTGCACAGGAGGGATAGCGGATATGTTTGCAAAGGTTGCTGAAGATGCTGCCAGGCAGGGGGGAAAGAGGAAGCCCACAAAGGAGATTCGGGGATAAAGTGAAGGAGGATGTGAAGATAGACAGAGGCAGATGACCATAAATACATTTTCACTTCAAGTTTTCACCTTTAAGAAATATTTCAAAATGATAAAAGGGTTTATGAAGCATACGTGTCTTTTAAAGTAAAGTAGAGTCTCGAACATAACTGAAAATTTAATTTTAGAATAAAATATCTGGGAGGAGAAAAAAAAAGAGGCAGAAAAGCCTTTACCACGGGACAGATGCCATTTACTAAAACGGTTGAGTCAAACGCCCCCTAGTGTTTGTGTTTATGCGGCGCTTCTTGTGTCCGGAACCTTTTGTCGTTAGGCGTTTACAGCCGAACGAGAGTTGAGCAAGCACCGGTCTCATCATGGCGAGACACCTTCGATTCATTTCCCGGACGGTGATGGTCCAAAACGGGGATGTGGATGCCGCGTACAAGACTTTAAACAGGTCACTGCGAGGTTTTTGAATTTAACGTTGTTTGTCAGATGTGTTTGTTATCCGACCAGAGGCGCGCTAACGGCCCAGCCTAGCTTGTTGCTCAATGTCACAGAGCTGCGCCTGCGCAGTGGGGACAACACAGTTTACAGAATACGCTTTTTCTGAGGCTTTTTTGTGTTTTAATTTTTAAGATAGATATACATGTAATCAAAAAGCGAAATTCACTACACGTTTAAATTGAAATTGATTAAAGTCTGCGTATTTTAAGCATATTAGCATCATTCGCGGTTTTTAAAGAGCATAACGTAAAATAAATTCGACTTAAAATTGCGCTAGAAAAAACAGTAATTTCACACATTTCGACAATTTTATTTAGCTCTGTTGTTTAGTTGTTACATTTGGATTTCAAAGTAAAAGCAGGGAGAATTCTAGTTTTTTTTTTTCTCGGTGGGGGGTGGGGAGTTGGACGGGACCATGAATTAACTGTGTGACCCGTGAGAAAATCATAAAGGATAAATAAAGTGTTAAGGACTGATTTTAAAAGACATTAGCCATGATCTTCCAGCCTTTGTGCAGAGTCCTTTGCCCCGATACAGATGGTATTACAGTGCACAAGAGTCTGTATAGTGAACTGCTAAAAGACTGTACTGCATGGTAGTAGAAGAAGGTTTTAGATCTGAAAGTAACTTAAAAGTAGCAGTACTTCTCTGTAAAATGCGCTTTTCCAAATTAAAACACTACATGTAAAGTTCTAGGAGTAAAAGTACATATCTCAACATGGTGTGCAGTGTCCTCTTTAAAAATTGGAGAGGTTGCAGGCCTATAAACCTATCTACAGCAAATGGACAATATCTGAATATCTGTCATGTCCTTCATAAATTGAAAAAAATCCAGCAAAGACCTGACACAGAACTTGAGAGATCCTTCTGCCTTTTTAGCTGAGAAATAGTCAGCAAATCACTGCAACTATTCTCCATTTTACTAGCAAAATATATAAAGAAATGAGGGGTGGCCCAAGACTTTTGCACATTATTTTTGCATAGATTTTATGGCTCAAGATGATTAATTTTTAAATGTTTATTTGGATCCAAAAGCAGAGCACGCACAATTTTTTGAAGGACTAACATTTCAAGATCTATTTATTTTTGGTCCTCTCTGTTATTTGGACTATTTTAAATACATATTTAAAGGGTATATGTTGTCCTGTGGTCAGGAACAAGTTACAGTTTATCTTGGCATTACGTCCCAGTTACAGTTTATCCTATGGCTGGGAGCCAGTTACGGTTTGTGCTGTGGTTAGGTGCAGTTCTGGTTACAGTTTACCTATGAATCCGTGATTCAGTCTCATTAGAAGCTGACTGTGTTTGCATGCCCTCAGACTCTGAAAACGTAATGTTCTCTGTTGTACTTCTTACATTTTGACATTTTGTCTGGGTGAGTTACCGATTAGTCTAAAAAACAAAAAAGATGAATAAAAATGTAATGGTTTTAGCATATTAAGCACTTATAAGCAGAGGCTGACATCTAATAGGAACCGATGCACTTGGGACTACATTTGTGTCACTTTTACTGCTCTTTCTGTTTACTAAGTCTAATCTATTCACACGTTTTTTCTGTTTACTCCAGGATTCTGACTCAGGATGGCATTGTTGACACAGTGAAGCGCAAACGATACTACGAGAAGCCCTGCCGAGAACGACAGCGGAAGAACTTTGAGAACTGCAGGCGTATATACCACATGGAGATGGCCAGAAAAATTGCCTTTATCTCCAGGACAAACAGAGAAGATCCCTGGCTCGGCTGCTAGGGAGATGGCTCCTGTTGGAAAAGGAATGGACTGGATAAGACTGGGGAAGCAAAGCTGAAAGAAGCAAACAAGACCAACATAATGCTGCTGCCTGAGCCTAAAGGACCAGGCAAACGCAGACAAAAGTGGTGTTTATGTGGTCACATTGTAAACACAAAAAATGTGATTTAATTGTCTCCATTTTGAACATTTCTAATAAATTAGACACTTAGGACTTATCACAGTTGATCTTTTATTTGAATAACAAACTGGTGTATTCTGTAAACTCAGCTGTGTGTGTATTGGGTGATGTTTTTGCCCATATATGGCACTGGAAGTAGTTTAACGCGACCTCATTTTCTGAAGGAAACAATGCTGCGATGCTTTGGGTTTTTGTGTGTGTGTGTGTGAATGAGGTCTTGGCTCAGCAGCATCGTACTGTAAATTAATTCAAGGTCACTAATGCACAGTGTGGCGTTAATGTCCACCGACAATGTCGGCCACCTCCTGCAATGCTGCTTAAGCGAGGCGCGTCGGCCGCGCACGTCTGTCTCGGCTGTTTCCAGCAGGGGGCTTTGATGTGTGCACTTGCTCTCTCCTCACTCACACAGGGAAAGTTAAACATTTTCACCACGCTTACTTGTCTCCGAGGTTACCAGGTCATGTTTATATCCTGTCCTCTGTCTTCAGGCAGTGGGTGGCATTGTAAGGACTGAGGGGAGAGCTCTGACAGATGACCTGTGTATATTTCACACTGTAAAAGGTTGACTATCCTCACAACATAACTGTTTTTAAAGGATACGCTAATTTGTATGACTAGTGGATCTAACAGTAGTGAAAAGTGTTTTGGTTCTAATCCTCACAGTAGTTACAAATTTCCCCTCAAAAGCAGAAAAACATTTAACTGTTATGGAGGGTTAACTGGAACTACTTTTTGTTCCCATGGAACTGTCCTGTGGATTATCCACAGCTACAGTTTGTTACTGGTGATTTTGTTAAACAATGCTGCGAGTTTTAACTCCATGCTGGCAGAGTAATGTGTAAAACATGGCCAAATTAAAATAATGAGTGTCTGCATAGCTACAAACATATATACTACTTGGGCCACCCTACAGGAGCTGTTTAGTCATGAAAACCATGCCATGAAGTTCCCGGCGTGCAGCTTTGGGCTGATGTTATTGTCAGGGGAGATTTGGAGTAAACCGGGGTATTTGGTCACAAGTACACTCCTTTGAAAACGACATTAGTGAATAACTGACATTATTTGTCCCAGGAATGATAAAAGGAAGAATCATATCTAACCTTGGTTCTTTTGATTGCACTGTAAGATCAGAGTAGGCCTGCTGCTCCACACTGAATGGAGCCATCTGCAAAGGTGGTTATATTGATATGTTACCACCTTTTTTAACCACCTCTGCTGCTTCAAAATTCCCACCAGTCGACAACTGCAGGACTAGGTCAAACATTGGATCAGGGGTTTTCTTTCACAGGATGTTTACAAGATCCGAAGGAATACCTGGACCTGCTCCAAGTTAAACCAGTAGGCCTCGCCACACCTCTCGGGAATCCCTGGGTTAGGCTAAGGGTTTGGGAGGTATCATGTTTGGTTATTACAAAGATTGCCAAACAAACACGCTTGTGTGTATTTGGTCACGTATAACTACGCACAGGCAGCAGTCACTGCTTGGGGAACATTGGTAATAGATAACAAGGCTCAATCAAAATAAGAGAAAAGCTCTTCCAACAACATTTGAGGTGGATCAGATGGGGTACAGGCAGTATTAAGTAATAGGTGATTGGTCCATAGTTCAGTTTTTTATTTTAAGGTTTAATCTGTGGCTTTCTTTATGATGTAGACTGTGCATCCAGCAGACTTGGTAAAGTAATATCATCAAGACAGGCGCAAACACTTTTGTTGGCTTGCACCCAACATAAACACACTGCCAGCTTCCTTTCCACTCATAAGTATCGACTGCACAGAGGACATGTCAACACTTAGAATAATATATGTTGCCACCCATGGCTTCTAATTTGAACCAGCAGCCAACAGTGACACTTAAGAAGTCTGATTGTAGTGCAGCTCATGTCAAATACTTTTATAGCCCCATATACATAAGCTTTAAAGAAAACATGCCTGGCCAAAGCTATTAGAACATTCATGCATATGTTGAACATCTGCATCCATGATTCAATTATAATTCTTCAGTTGTCTGCATAGACTGCTGCTGGCAGTAGGCTCCACTGTTTGCACGGATTCTTTATCAGTTGATGGCTGGTGCTGTTTGCATGGTTACAGTACCTGTGTCGCAATCAAAAAGTCTGGAACTAAGTGTACCTGTGCAAACTTTAGGAACATGAATCAAGCCAGTGTGACAAGAGCGATACCGACAATGTGCCATAAAAAGAGCATTACTGATCTGATGATTTGTATAAAGAACCTGCACGCACTGCCTGGGAACTGCGCTCTCATTGGTCCAGGTTAAATTACGTAATTTAAGCATTCTGTTCACAATGGCACTGCATCACTTTTGTTTGAACGGTATAATATAAGATTTCAAACTCTATTCGACTCCCTCCACCACACCCAGAGTTGTGGCAGTGCTGAAACTGGCTTGTGCCATGCTTTCTATGTCACTCTCTTTTTTTTCACTAAGCCACACCTCTAATGTTATTCACCTGTTCCCCGTGTTGTACCGAAATCATCATAAACATTTGTTTTTGTCTGTAAAAGCTATTTTAATCAACTAAACCCACCTACACTTGCAGGTTAACAGCCCTCTTTTTGCATGTGACACAAGTGATTCACTCCTCAAGCATATATCTTATTACATAATTATGTAAGCCTGCCTTCCAATGGGCTCTCTCTCTCTCTCTCCCTCTGTGGCTTTAATAGGCCTATGTTGCCACATCTTCTTATCTTGTCCAGCTTGTTGACATGAACTTAATAATAAATAAAATGATTGTTTCTAGAGTTTATTTTAATAAAGGTTATATTAGATTGCACTGTAATCTGAAGGCAAAATTATGTTGTTGCTTCAATAGACCTTTATCGCATGCCTATTTAAATCTAAATCTCCCAATTAGTGGTTTGGTTTGTTGTTGTATGCATGGAAGATGTTCAGGTGTTATCTTGGCAGGTGACCCCAGAAAGCAAGTTATCAACGCAAGACTGACACAAAATCCCTTTAAATAATATTAATCTTCTTCGGAAAGACCCTGCTGTGAACTGTGCATGTCTCTCTCTCTCTATCTCTCTGATTAATGATGTTAATCAAGTGACGTGGGTGTCTTGGTCCATCACATGCAAGCCTATTGGAGAGCTTCAGTTAAGTAACATGACGAATTTGGAAGAATGTGGAGAGAGTATGGAGGGGGGAGGGGGTGCAGCCCCCACTGAAAAAGGAGAAGACTCCAGAGTGTAGAGGTGTGTGTGTACGTGTATGTGCGCGCGGGGACCAGCAGCGTGGTCTGTTATTACTCGTTGGCTCTATAATGTGACTCAGTCTGCATATCAACATTTTAGATGCCAGTTGCCTCGTGCTGTTCCTCTCGCTCTGCATCCACACCTACCACACGTGCGGCCGTTGAAGGATCGGAGGGATCCAAACGCTTATACCAACCAACCGACGTTGTGCGTCCCGCCGATTGGCCAAGCCTCTCGGCCAAAGGGAAAAGAGCAGCTCTGGGCTCAGCCAATCGCGGCTCCGTACACGCTCCAGCACGTGTAGAGGCCGTTGCTCTCGGTGGGTAGTTCGCGTGCGGGTAGGAGAGCTCCCAATGTAAGTGAAACGCCACGAGCGGAGGTAGCAGAAACGAGGGACTGGCTAAGAGGAGTTACAGCTGTGCTCACAAGTAGAGCCGTTAGTTTTTGTGGAAGTCCCCTCTGTGAGCTTTGATTTATTTTTTAAAAACTAGTTCAAATAGCGCTAGCTGTCCTTTTTTAAGAGTCCAACTCTCCTCCGTCCAAAAGGTAAGAAGCTCCGTCCTTTTCCTACACTTTAACGTTTTTTAGGGAAATGTGGCTCCTCACTTATTATATAAAGCCTGCGTTTTATTTTTACCTCAGATAGACTAAACAGTAACTTTTTACATTTACACCTTTACATAGCGAATTTCCAGTTAGCTGGTTGACCACGGGTATTATTACAGAATGAAAACGGTATTAATACTGCTTTTATGCTTTTTCTTAAAGACATTTTCAGCTAACAATCACTCAGTTTGTGGGATACGGTTTTCTAGACTATTCCCAGTTATCGCAAACATGTTATAACTGGTATATAAGATGATTATTGCGTTTTACCAGCTTATCAGCTGCAGACGTACACACATGTGTGTCCTTACATAAATCAGATTCCCATATGTCTCCAGTTTTAACCATTAAAATTAAATACGTAATATCCAGCCTTAAGAGGCAGTGATTAAAAAAATCTAGTGCAGATATAAACAAACTAAGCTCAAGGCAACTAACATTTGCAGCAACACGTGCTATAACAAACTTTATGTAACAGGCTTTTGCGAAAATTTAAGGGGGCTCGTGCGATTGAACTGCGCGTTTTTTAAAGTGAATAACTGCGATTGCGTCGGTCGGAGGGCCTTCGTGTTCTTCCAGGGTCATAATCTATCAGAGTTGATTGTTATTGGCTCTGTCCTCATCTGGATTTTATTGCTGAAAATTTGCGAAGACGTAACTCACTGTTCTTGGCAACAAGTGCACTTCTAATAGATATTGCATAAAAGTGATGAAATCATCGTGCTGCAGCATTGCAGTCACATGAGGGCTGATAAGTGTTTTATAGTAACATATGGATAGTATTTTCATTTAATGACTGTATTACTCAATCAAATACGCAGCTATTATAACTAAGGCGCCTTGTATTTTTTTTCATGTTAATGTTACAAGTGATCTTCTATTTTATGTGCATTTAAAACATTTTGGTGCCCACCAAACAAATCTAGGTCTTTGGCCAAAGTAAAAACATTAAGACTGTGATAAAATATTGTTTGAATAGCAGTAAAATGCAAAGTTTTCTATTAAGTAACAATAAAAAGACTCTTTGCCTGGCTCTTAACTGTATGCTGAAGGGCAGGTATGTTAAGGCTAACTAAGAGACATAAAATTCAGAGATGTATCCCCAGAAGCATCAAAACTGATCATTTGTTTAAGGTAATATGACCTCCTGTGTAAATGATCCTGGCATCATCACACTGTAAAAACACTGTAAAAATGTGTTATAAATGCTATGGTTTGGACCACAAAAGATTTCACAAAAGAAGTGAGTAGGTTACTGATAACGTATTGTACTGTTTGTACAGCTTCTTATGATACAACTTCTTAGGAAGTTGAGCAGATTTCCCAGAAGAAGATTGCTTTACTCTCCAGTCATCTTTTTTCTTCTATTTATCCCAGCTGTCTCAGGGCCCTAGGTGGGATACACCCCGAACGTGTTATCAGTCTATCTAACTGACTAACACAGATTTGCTCATATTCATTCCTATGGCCGAATCACCAGTTAACTAATATTCATGTTTTTGGAGTGTGGGAGGACGCCAGAGTACCCATAGGGAGAACATGCAAAAAGCCTGGATTCAAACCATGGATCTTCTTGCTGTGCTACTGATTACTTTACTTTTATTCATAATCTTGATTTAAAAGAATTTCCTCAATACTGTCTCCACAGATGAATTCATTAGGTATTTCCTCCAAATGGCCATCTTATGACTCGCTACCCTCCACTCCAAGCTTTCTGCTCAGTGAGACTGAGCAGACTGAAGATGAGGCTGAAACCTTCTCAGAGGGAGAGGGGGACAGTGGGATTGGAAAGTTGCCTTCCGCCGATGAAGGAATCTCACTTTCTGGAAGCTACATTGGTTTACCTCCTCATACCAATCAGCTGCGTTTGAGATCTCAGTGTGACCGGTCTGAAAAGTGCTCTGACACGACTAAACCTCCAGGCTCTACCCCTTCTCCTGAAGACCACACATTATCGTCATCAGTGACACCAGGGGACATCGCTTTCGCTCAGAAGGTGAGCACTTCTCTTTTGGAATCTTTAGGTCTTATTTTAGTAAACAGAAGTTTTAAGCTGTGTTAACTTTTAGTAAATAGCAGATTTTAGTTATATTAACAGTCTTTATTATTGCCTTTAACATTACAGTGTGCAGATTTGCACAGGTTTATCCATCCTCTCCTCGAGCTGCTTCATGGTTTAAAGACTGGCCGATTTGACCGAGGTATGTGTCTGACCATTATCCTAAATGATCTTCATTATTTATTGCATCCAATCTGGTAGTTATATCCAGGTACCTGCTTGTGTTTTTGATAGGCTTAACCAGTTTCCAGCAGAGTGTTGCTATGGACAGGTTGCAGAGGATTCTTGGAATCCTACAGAAACCTGAAATGGGGTAAGTCCACCAAAAATGATACCTAATGCTCACCTGGTTGAGCAGCTGATCGAAATGTCAAAGGTTATAGTCCTTACTGCTCCTACCCTCTCTCCACATTATCCTGTTTAATAAAGTTAAAATGCCTTTCACAATAACTTTATTAAAAAGAAAACCTAATATTAATAGCAGTGTTAACAGCATGAACAGTGTTATCATTGTCCCTATTACCCCACAGGGTAATTGTACAATTCTTTTGTTTCTGCAGTGAGAAATATCTTCAGAATCTGCTGCAAATAGAGATGCTGCTCAAAATGTGGTTCCCTCGGGAGGAGTTTACATCCACAAACACACCAAACAAGACCACCACACCCAGAGTCGCAGCACACTGGAGCCAAAATCAGCTCCACATCCCAGTAAAGGTGAGCTTCCTCCTGGTGTCACCATATCTGTGACAGTGTTGTTTAATGTAATAGTATTATTTTAAGGAATGAAGGAGAAAAAAAGCAAATTAATGTACATTTAAAAATGATTAGAAAGCATCTTAGTATTTAGTAGAGTATTCTGTCTCCCCAAGGTCAACCTCATCTGCTTTATTGTCCTTTTTTGGCTCAAAGATCTTAATTCTCTTCCAAGATGGCCTTGATGTGTTGTTATTTTTGGTTCTGCTCTCCCATTGCAGAAGAGAAAACTGAGCTGGCCAGACTCTACCCAGGCTGGCAAAGTCCCAGCCAAGCACGGAAAACACGGGAGCTGCCATGCTGCCTTTTCACTAGACACCATTTCCACGTGTTGGCGCGGATCCCGTACAGAACAGAAAACTCCAGAGGAAGAAGCAGACAAAGCAGCTGGGTACAGCTGTAGCTCTGAACACGAGTTTACACACAGGACTGGCACTTTAAGCAGGCCGTCATATTTATGTAGCAGGAGAGCACATGACAATCGGAAGCACCCTGAGAGTTCTCCGCCCTCCTCCTCATGTGGCAGCCCAGCTACACAAGACAGCTCGGTGTCTTCAAGCAACATCATTACTATAAGTGACTCACCTTAGCTGGCCTTAGCTGACCTCGCTATCACATGGAGGTGCCTCAGCATGCCAGCGAGACTGAAAGCAGAGGGCGGACTCGATTACATAAGAATAAAGTTGGGCGTGGAGCCAGTCTGTGATGCTTATAAGGAACATTAAACCAGGAGGAGGAGAACTGTACAGAGATGGTCATTAACCCCTAACTATCCAGTGTTGGGTTTTTAATGACACCAGAGTTATTTCAAAGTGTTTGTCTGAATGGATTTTTGTATACATTGACCTTTAAGTTAAAAAATGTTGAAAATACTTTTACATGTGTTAAAACAGTCTGTGCTGTGCTTTGTACGTTTTCATATCATCGAACGCAGCTCTAAGCAGTAGCAGTACAGGATTTCATGCCATTGATGAAAAATGTGTTTGTAGCAGGAAAAAAACGAGTCAGTTGAATATAAAATACTTTATGAAGCGACGATTGGTTCCACGGCTGCTTACATTTTTTTTTGCATTTGCACTATTTTCCCAGAGAAAATAGGACAAATTAATTAGCGGCTTAGTTTATCGTGAAGCAACTCACAAATTGATTACAAATATACCTCATTATTGAACTCGGATGACTCTAAATTTTATTTAGGAAAGTTTAAAAAGTATTTTTTCCAGCTGTCTGATTGTAGCATACAGTAGAATAAAGGCGTGAAGCCGCTGCCAAAATGTGCCAAATTAAACCATGATGCATTATCATATCACAAGCAGCTTACTCTAGTGTCGCAGCACTTAACGTACGCTCTTTGTTTTTTTATCTGCACTTATTAAGAACAGATGTAGTCCCACACAGAACATGACTGACTAGTAATCACTGAGCCGAGTTAGAAACCAAAGAAGCTCGGTCTTTCAGTTGGTTTTTATTCTGTAAGCTAGCTGTAGATAGGTGGACTTGAAATATTTTATTACACTTGACCTTGGGCATGGGGTCACTTTTTCCTTATTAGGTGATTAAACAGGAATAATATAATATTTAATCCTGTGTGACTTTGAATTGATGCAGCTGCACTTTTGGATGACAATGAGGAAATGTTACACACTAAAGGGTTTGTGATGTTATTTATGAAAGCAGTACTTGAAAACCTTAATTCTATTCAGCAGACTTGGTGTGTGTTACGCCTGGGATGAGCGCTTTACAGGTTTTTGTAGGGGAAAGGGTGGAGGAGGAGGACATGTCATTTGATTGCAGTTGAGCAAATCTAGCTTATTATTCATACAAAAAAGCTCCAAATGCATTGTGTCATCATGAGGGCAAAAAACATCCCTTTGTGCCCTGTTTTAAATGGATTTGTAACCCTGGAAGTGCTTTTCTATTGAGTCATTATTAAGAAATATCAGGGGGAATACGATAAACAAAACACTTTCCATTCCATATCTATTAAATACCTTAATATTTTTTTGTACCACCATATTTTATAATCAGGTATCATTCATGTTGAATGACATTTCATCTCTGGTGGGATCTTTTTGTTTTGGGTTGTTGTTTTTTTAACCAGTGAGCCTTATTTTATCACATAAAGCTTGCCTGACATTAAATCATACGAGAAAAAGTCATACGAAAAGTGTACTGTTTTAACCAACGATGGTAACGTCATTTTGCCACATATGCCACTGAAAAGTGAATGTTTCTCAGGCTTTGTCCTTACTTGTGTATGAATTTTCCTATTTAAAGCAGAAATTGGAAGCACAAGGCGGAGAACAATAGTGCAGCGGTGTGTTGTGTTAGTCTGTTAAGATGTAGCATCCTGGAGTACATTTTTTGTTGTGCTGGGTTACACTTTTTATTTGTGATAAAGGAGTTAAGAAAAGAAATCAGATTTTACAGTTTGATGTCTTTAATTTTCACTTGTTTTAGAAAATTTATTTCTTATAATGAAATTATTGCTGGTGATTTCTTGATAAGTACAGAATGACACGAATCAGCATTTTTCTGCATTGATGTTTAAGTTTTCGGCTTTCCAGCCACTAAATCTACTCCGTAAATATCTTTATAAGGCTCCTTTATTATTCCATGGGTTAGATAAGTACAGTTTTACTTGTATAGCATCAATTTAGAGCATATTATTGGAAGGTGAACTACATGATTGGGATTAGGGTAACCGGTCATGGCACATTCAGGCTGCATTGAAAAGGAAAAAACAAGGGTGCAAATAGGCCACGAGTAACACAGCAAATAACAAGGTGTGGGGCCAGTAACATGCTGCTCCAAAGCAGGAGATCCCACCAGAAAGACACAGGGAAGAGAGAGAGAGGAGAAAACACAAAGCACAAAAGTGGTATTTTCTATGTGTGGGTTATATAAAGGCATTTTTATTCTTGTATTATTCTTGGTTCAGGGTCACCCGATCCAGCAGCAGGCCCAATTGTGAGCTTGGTAAAAAAGGAAAGTTTCTCTTCACAGCAAAGTATTTTTTCTGACCAGAACACCTCATACACTACGAACTTATTTACTCTGCATTCTTTAAATGGTACAAAAACAACATTTGGCTTCACACTGGTATGAACTAAAAATCTGCTGTAGATTTCTCAACATTTTTTTGAGGACACACTGCACAACATCCTGAGAAATTCTAAGTTTTAATGGCTAATTTGGAAATCACCTCATTGGTGTATAAGTATTAATTTTTGGCATTTTATACTGACTCAACTAACAAATTGGAAATAAATTGTGTGCTTTTGTTGGCAGGTTGTTTTAAATTGTATGTTATGTGTAGGGCCACATTTTTGCTCCAATAATTCATAGGTCAGTGTTGGCTTAACAAAAGAAAATATTCATCTGTAAAAGGTTAGCTGCAAGGACTCAACTGAAAATAAGTGAAAAAACAAGCAACTTTGAAAAACCTTCGGAAAGCCTGAAGAACTATTGCAGAAGACTACCAAAATAACAAGAAAGTCTGGTTCCTTGGAAGCAAAACATGTAGAAATGAGAGGTGACTCAAGACTTTTGCACAGCACTGTATTAGTTTTTAAATATTAAAACAGAATTAAAACTCCTCTGCCACAACAAACAGTAAACAGTGCACTTGCTCTACCAATAACGCGCAGCTGGTGTCGCTAACAAAAAACAAAGAAGAAGAGAAAAGTCACCTTCCGTGACACTGGGTGGCGCCATAACCAAGCAGTGTTTGCGGAAGTGTTCTTCATCACCCCACCAACAACGAGTAAACAGATCCACAGGATGCCGCGAGGCGCTGAGTTTTAGTCCTTCAATGTGAAACGATATGACTGTTTAGCCGCGATAAGGAAGCTCACCGTGAATAATTTGTACACACACAGGGATTGGGACACGGGTTAGCAAACGGAGCAGGCTGAGAGGCTTCTGAGTGCAAAGATGCCTGTGCTGCGTTAAGCTAGCATGCTAAGCTAAGTGCTAGCCTTCACCAGCAAACTCGTCCGGACATGGCAGCGGGAGCCGGAGCCGCTACCAGCGGCTCTCTGGAGTCCACTTTGGACAGAAAGTTACAAAATGTGACCAACACCATGGACTCGATTCAAGGACTGTCAGCGTGGTGCATCGACAACAAGAAGTACCACAGTGTGATAGTGCGACACTGGATCAAGTGCTTGAAGAAATGTAAGTAGCCCTACTGCTTGCACCACCTTTGAACTCGTTTGAGCTCAACGATCGCAATGGTTGCAATGAGATGTTTGTGCTTATACATATTTTAAATATAGTTTTTATTCCTGCTGTCTGACGAATCATACCTTTATCCGGGCGCGTTAAGGTCTTTGTCCTATTTGCCTTAGGTTGAAATGCCGGGAAACGGTGGAGTTTAAAACTGGCGCTCCTTTGACAGCAGGGACATTCAAGCTGTCATCCATGTGCACACTATAGCCTGCGTTTACCCGCGTAGTCTACAAATAGTTTATAAACTAATGTGCAGAGTAGTGAACCTGTCACATTTACAGTTCTGACAGTGCTACAAGAGGTCAGCCTGTGCCAGCTTTACAGGCTACAACGGGAAATTCAAGATTTAACAGCCTACCAGATCACTACATGTTATGAGACTGGAAAGACAGTTTTGTTATCAAACTGTATGACTGAGCTATTTGTAGTCAGCTCATGGGGAACAGTGACGTTTTGGATGGGGCGGGACACCAATGTCCATCCATAATATATAGACCAGCGATGTCATACTCTTTTTTACATCGAGAGCCACATACGGCTTACTTTGATTGTAATTGGGATAGATGAGTGAAACCCTCCTTTCTGTCAATGTAAACAAATTTAAATAAACATTAAATAATGAGATATCTTAATATATTAAAAAGTGCAATTTCAACAGTTCATCTAATTTGGTCTACACGTTAAGAAATGTTGCTCTAGTAAACCTGCCAGTATGATTCTTTGTGCTTACATTGTAAGAAATTAATATGTAAAATTACAGCAAAAGTTCTGGTAACTCATTGCCCAGACTGTCCGATAATTACAAAACAGGAAGTTTTTCTTAATTCGCAGTAAACTTTCTGTTTCTCTTTCTTTTTCTTACCTTGGACCGGGTGTATAAACAAACAAACAGAATTTTCTTTTGTTGATAGTGAAAAAAACAGGAATTTCTGTGTCATTTAATTTTTTGTCCTTTACATATTACACTGTTGTAGTATGAATGGCCGAGGAGAAGGTCTTTCTCAGTAGGAAATGCTGTAAAAGTGGGTCGTATTGGAGTCCTTGGCAGGTCAAATTTGTCCCCCGGTGCCTTTTGCTTGAAAACCCTGATGTAGACAAAATATATTCTGTTACCGTAAACCTGCGCTGGGCAGTTAATTTATCCATGGGGCCACAATTGGGGTCTTTTTGATTTTTTGGGGTCTAAAAATCTACTTTCACCAGAAGCAGTTTATAAAGAAATAAAAAGTAACAATGAGCAGAATGAGTTCAGTGTACAGGTGCGGCCTTCCACAGCAGTTTTAGTTCCTCGTGTGGCCCGCTGGAGTAAACTAATGTTACCGAGTACACAAATTCACTTTAAGTATTGGAGTTGTCACCGACACTTTGATTATTTACATGTTTGTTTGGAAATTTGTCAAACTGCACCAGGTTCTCAGTGGGGCTCTATTATTTATTTTATAATAAATCTGTCAGTACTTTGTGTTATTGCCAAGGTATTAGGAGATGCTTTTGCAGCCTTGATCACACATCTAGCTTTCTAGTAACTGTAATTAAGACACAGCTCCCACCAACCAGTCTTACACTAAGAAGACAAATCTTATATCTTAAATCTTAATCCTTGCTAGGACCAATCCTTTTGCCTTATACATGTTTTCAC